TAGAGAGGATGTTCTTGGGAAGTCAGAAGTCAGAAAAAAAATTAAAAATAAAAAATAAGCAGAGTTATTCAGAGACCAAGTAGAATGAATGGTGCTCTGAAAAGCAAGGGGAATAAGATTTTAAAGGAGAACATGCTGCTGAATTGTGCCAAGTAGCTACGATTGGGAAGAAATAATTAGATTTTGATATTAGAAGATCATGTAGCCCATGGGCAGCTCATTCTCCATGAGGGTCAGCTAGTAAGGGGAGCAAGGGCAATCTCTGGCATGCACTTCAATGCATGCTCTTTGATCATCTCCTCCCGGTGAGGTGGCCTTACAAGGTCACAGAGAAAGAGAATCTAAACAGTCCTGATGAGACCTAAAGTCAGATAGTAGGGCAGGAGGACCTCCCCTACCAGTGTACTAGGGTAGGGGCATAAGGAGGAGGGAGGGTGAGCTCGAGAGGAAATGAAAGAGGGGGCTACAGCCAGGTTACAAAGTGAATAAATTGTAATAATAATAATAGTAAAACATTTTTAAAAGATCATTAAACTTTGTTTTGTTTTTAATTTTGAAGCTGTGAGAAAGCTGGGTTGTGAAAGGTGATTTAGAAAATAGAAAAATAAGTATAGATGATTCTTTCTGAGACATGTACTACAAAATGAAAAGGAAGATGAGAGGCTAGTAAGTATAAATCAGTTGAAATGAAGGAAATACAGTTTGGAAACTGAACAGTGCAAATAAGCTGAAAGGCAATGAAGAGAGCAAATATATGTTGATGTGATTTATCCTCAACCTGTTTCTTCAACCACGAAAGTAATGAAAATCCTATCATAGCTAAGTTAGAAAACATCTGTAAAAAGTTGTTAGTTTAAAACATAATTAGTTCAGTATTTTAACAGGATTACTTCATGACATTGATCACTTCCCCCTGAGGGGGGAGCAGCCTTACCAGGCCACAGTAGAGGACAATGCAGCCACTTTTGATGAGAACTGATAGACTAAGATCAGAAAGAAGAGGAGAACCTCCCCTATCAGTGGACTTGGGGAGTGGAATGCATGCAGAAAGGGGAGGGAGGGTGGGATCGGGAGGGGAGGAGGGAGGGGCTTATGGGGGGATACAAAATGAATAAAGTGTAATTAATAAAAATAAAAAAAAAAGAAGTCTCAGGACACTACCAAAATAGAAAAGTAATTCTGTTAAAATACAACAAGACTTTAAACAACAGATTTTAACTTTTGTTTTTAATTTCAGTATTCTGAGCATATTTTAGAACTTTTACAGGACATTTTCTCATTCATGTTAATTTATTATGCCTAATATACCAACTTCACAATTCTTAGGAGACTATTAGGCCTTGTATATAATAAATTACTAAATTTTATAGCTCATTAAAACAGGAAATTTCAAATTGTAGTTTAGATATGTTTGCATCCATAATCAGTATTCGACAATTTCTTGACTATTTAGCAAGATGTCTATGATTCTTTCCATATGGTACCTGTTAAACACTTGCCACTTAATCATTCTATTCTGTGCAGCACCATGAAAGCCAGAGAACATCAGTAGTGTCTCACTGTCTAGGGTAAACTACTCTATAACAACAACGTAGGTTTTACTATAATGGACATGCAAGATAGTTCTAGATGCTTATATCATAAATTCAATTCATCATTCTAAATTTAACAGCTGTGTGATTCAGAGAGGACTGATTACTTAGCCTCCTTGCAATTCAGTCCCTGATCAGTAAAATGAAGATAATATAGAAAACAGAATTCTGGGTGAATTTTCATTTAAATTTTTTAATTATGTAAATGTACTTGTCCCACATATGGGAAAGTGGTCCAAATGCAATGAAATTTGATTCTAAACTAAATACTTGAGTCCTAAACTTTGGAAGTGAAGTAGAGGCTTAATATATGCGTGCCTAGCACTGGGGAAAAAAATCTAGTTAGGTAAGCAGAGCCCATGTAGCAACAAAGACAAAACACTGGAAAAGATATTTTAAAATTGCACATTTTAGGTTTTCATTAAAAGTATGAAATTCTATTGAGACTAAAATTAATAATATGAAAACTGGGTCATAGATTAAAAAACACAACAGGGAAAAATCTCCATTTAAAAACACCAATGCATAAGAATCATACAATAAAAGTTTCTCAATATCCTCATCATAACTGAAATAGAACACTTAAATTTTTGGCATATCTGAAGAAATATTATATGTAGTTTTATAATACTACAGATTCTCTTTATATAAATAAGCCAATTCATCTGTCAGACACAGTATCCAACTGTGAGAGAAAAGCTGTCACTACTTCATAACATAATAAAAAAGAAAAATCAATTGTGTTTGTGTCACATCAAGTAGAAAATTTTCACATGTATTCTCACTATCAAACCATTTGAAATATTAAATATAGATGCAAAAAAATCTCTTAGAGTGATGCTATAACATTTTCAAAGTATTGTATGGAGCATCAAATTGTATATATACTATCTAAAACAAATAGCAATTTGAAAACAAATTCAAGCTCCTACAAACCATGTCTACTATATAAGTGATGCAGTCTCACTCAGCTTATCCACCTAATGAAGAAATAATTAATAATACTTATAAAGCTGATTTGCTGCAATAATTAAATAAAATTTATTACAAAATAAAATGTGCAGTTCAGGAGCTTTTGTCTTTAAATATGAGTAACAAATATGACTTCTGTTCCCACAAAACCAATGCAGTCTTTAATAAGGTAAAGCATTTCCTAAAATCACTAAAAGCAATGGGTTTTATCATTTTTAAAATTAAACACCTTTAGTCTGGGTCTACAAAGTTTTCTCATGGTCACAGAGACAGGAGATAACATCCAATTCCCTCTGCATTGGTGAGTCAGAGTTCTGATTATTGATTGAAACGCACAAAGAGAATTATATTGAATTTTATTTTTAATTTTTTTCATTGGTTGTTTGTATCCCAGGCTGGCTTGAAACTTGTGACTGTCTTGCTTCAAATATATGACTGTGAAAGAGTACCATGCAGCTTAAGAAGAGGGCAGTGCTGACCACACAGAGACTTTCAACAGGATCTCAGCAGTGAGAGGAGGGTGACTACAGGCTGTACTGTGGACCTCAAAACCCAGACGTCTGTGTTTCTCAGGTGAGAGAAGAATACACGGAGATACTTGAAAGTCCATCTTTCAGCCACCCTGCTAATACCAGGGAAATTCCTGAGCTCCCATCCAGTGCTCTTTGCAGCCCTAAGGCCACCTGCCTAAACCCACCATCTGTGGGTACCTTCCTAGACAGGCAGCAGCAGGGCATCCACAATTCTGACCCCTCAGCCATAGGCTACCCACCACCCAAGCCCACTTTCTGTGGATACCTTCCTAGGACCAGAGCCTGCCTTCCTGTACTGAGGGTGAGACTTGGAGACTGAGCTGCCTATGGGCTATATGTGAGCAGGAGTTCTAGGTTATCTCCAAGCAGGGTCCTTGGTTGGAGCATTGGCTTCTCCAGGGGACCATGAGCCCAGGTTTTTTGACTCTGTTGGTCTCCTTGCAGAGTTCCTATCCCATCCAGTTCTTTCGATCTTCGCCTTTTTACATATGATTCCCTGAGACTGTCTCTGACATGAACTCAGTGGCTGGCTCTTTGATCACCTCCACATGAGGGGGGACCGGCCTTACCAGGCCAGAGAGGAAGACAATGAAGCCAGTCCTGATAGAGTAGAGTCAGATGAAAAAGGAGGAGGACCTACCCTATCATTAGACCAGGGTAGGGGCATAGGAGAAGAAGGAGGGAGGGTGGGATTGTGAAAAGATGGGGGAGGGAGCTACGGCTGGGATACAAAGTGAATAAGTTATAATTAATAAAATTAAAATAAATTTAAAAAAATTCCCTACCTTCAGCCCAAAGTTTGGCTATACATCGCAGCATCTTAGATACCCTGATCAATAGAGTCTTCCAGAGGGTCTCTGTTGTAGGCTCCTGTCCTGTTCTCTGCCTTCTTCAGCTTCTGATATCCATCTATAGTTTGCCCTGCTGAATGAGGATTGAGAATCTTCCCTAGGGTCCTGCTTTTAATTTAGCTTCTTTAGGGGTACAGATTTTACCATGTTTCTCCCATGCTGTATGTCTAATATCCACTGATAAGTGAGTATATACTGTGTGTGTATTTCTGCTTCTGGGTTACCTCACTGCGTACAGACTAGGAAATGATCTTCCTCAACCCAATATCTAACAGAGTGCTAATATCCAGACTATATAAAGAACTCAAGAAGTTAAACACCAACAAACCAAACAATCCAAATAGAAAATGTGGTACAGAGCTAAACAGAGAATTCTCAATAGAATAATACTGAATGGCAAAGAAACATTTAAATAAATGTTCAGTGTCCTTAGTCATCCAAGAAATGCACACCAAAACTACCCTGAGACTTCACCTTTTACCCATCAGAATGGCTAAGACAAAAAACTCAAGTGATAGCACATGCTGGAGAGGATGTGAAGAAAGGGGAACCATCTTCCATTGCTGATGGGAATGTAAACTTGTACATCCACTCTGGGAATCAATATGGTGCTATTCCCAGAAAATTAGGAATGGTGCTACCTCAAGATCCAGATATTCCACTCCTGGGCATATATCTTAAATATGCTCAAGTACACAACAAGGACATTTGCTCAACCATGTTCATAGCAGCTTTATTCGTAACAGTCAGAATCTAGGGAAAAAACTAGATGTCCCTCAACTGAGGAATAGATACAGAAATTGTGGTACATTTACACAATGAAATACAACTCAGCTATTCAAAACAAGAAGATCATGAAATTTGCAGTCAAATGGATGGATATAGAAAAGAAACAATTTCATAATTTTAAATGACTATACATAAAAACACTATGAATAATACAAATAATTGCAGTTTTATACTCTGTTCTATAAATGCCAGCTACAAAGTTGGTGTCATTACAGTTACACAAGTTATAACTCTTCAAGTGATTCATGGGAAAATGACCTCACCTGGAGTTGCAAGACTTCATGATTTTCTAATCCTTCCACAATTGGTGAAAATCGTTCTCTGTTATTCCTTTCAGCTGTAGTGGTGATGGCCCCCAAAAGTTTGTCTAGACTATAGACAGAAACAAGTCAAAACATAAATGGGAAATATTTCTTATGCACACATTATAAACATAGTTCATTCTATATTTTATTTTTAGTGTTTGGTTTTTGTACTGACCATTGTAATTTTCACAACATTTAGTAGGAAAATATTTTAGATACTTGCACTATGTAACAGTGTTTTAAATTATCGCTGTTGTGGAATAGCTAAATAGGTTTATTTAACATACTATTATTTCACATGCTAATCTCTTTTTGGTATGAACTGTTGTGTGTTCCAAACATTCATCTACAAATTTACACCAACCTTTTTTTTTTTTCTAAACAATAAGTTCACTTCATTTTAGGTTCCCATACAAGATAAAGTAAAATGCAATGATACAATAGTATAAAATGAAAGCACCTAGTTGCTTCAACTAAAGAAATCAAATTGGGGTCTGGAGAGTTGGCTTCAAAATTCAGAGTACTGACTGCTCTTCAAAAGGACAGAGTAAAATTTACAGCACATAGTGGTGATACACAAACTGTTACAACACTGCATAGTAAAAATTAAATTGCATAATGTACAGTACATGCATGTACTCTGTGCATGTGTATACGTGTGCACATCTCCTGTGTGTCTACCTCCTCTGTGCTGCCCAAAATAACTTTTTTGAATTTTTAACACATTTCCAATTTACTAATGTTTTCAGTAAGACACTATTCCATTTATTCACTTTAAATTAATCCTTAACAAATTTAGATTATATAAAATCGAAAAAAGTTAAAAAAAATAAGGATTTTAAACAACAAGAGAGTGAATCTTTTTAAAAAAATGTATTTATTTTTACTATGTATGCAGTGTTCTGCCTGTATGTACACCTACTTGCCAGAATAGGGCACCAGAACTCATTTTAGATGATTGTAAGCCACCATGTGAGTGCTTGGATTTGAACTCAGGATCTTTGGAAGAGCAGGCAGTGCTCTTAACCTCTGAATAAATTATAAAGCATAAATTTAATTTAAAAAAATAGCAAAAAAATTAAGGATGTTAAACCAAAAATGTTCTAAGATCTACTACTATTTTCCTGCAAGTTACCAAAAAAAGATATGCTAATTTCCAAGATGTCATTTTCAACACAATCAACAAAGCATGTCAATACTCACATGTTCTCTTCCCCTATAATGCAAATAGCAGAAAGTATTTTTACTATTTCAGTCATCATGTTGGGTTGCTTTGGGTCAACTGCTCTTGCCAACAATAAAAGGCTCCTCTCATCTCCTAGAATCCTTTGTAGGCCAAACTAAAGAAAACAAAACAAAACAATAACTATCACTGAAACTGAAATATCTATGACAAATAGTTTTTGTTTAAAATAAACGCAAAATAAAAAAAAATTTCAAAAAAATCTTCAAAGTGATGTTATATTTTACTATATAAACTTTCCTCAAATGCAGTTATTCTCCTAGTGCATTTTATTATATAAACTCTCCTCAAATGCAGTTATTCTCCCAGTATTTTATGTGAAATGACTGTATCTTAGAATTTTTATGGCTTCAATATAAATGCATTATATTACTCAAAGGTTTTGAAAAGATTTCAGAGAAATATGGGGAAAATTAGTATTTCTTTAACAAACAAGAACATATACTGACTATTTTCTAAAGCAATTTTTTAAGTCCTGAGATATCCTTTGAAAAGTGTAGAATTTGTGGTTAAGTTTTCTAATATGTTGGCATTGAAACTTAAGCAAAACAATGAAGGAAAATGATAATACTCTTTCATGTATACTATATGCTAGTTAAAGTAATAAAATATGGTATGGATTTTCTCTTATTTCCTTGTCCACCAACCTCATCTCTTAGGCAGCAACAAACATCATAAACTCAGAGACATAGCTCTTTGGTTTCCTTACATATCACAGTCAAATAGGGAAAAAAAACTGTATCAGTTTTATTTGTTTTCTAGGCATGAGACCAAGTATGTACATACATGCATTCACAAATATCAATAAACAGATTTTCAAGTTAAAAAAAATAATAACTTATTGCTTTCTTTCACCTGTGTCTCATAAAGTATATTTCAATTTTTCTCATTAAAAGTTTGCTACATTTTATAGTTCCAGGGTAGCACTACATTTGTTGGAGTATATTACAAGATAACATTTGGTAAAGTACCAAACGTATGAACAGCATGTTTGTTCTTAATGAAAACAAGGGAACCAGGCTAAGCTTCTTAAATATGACTTTAGTGTGAGTCTTAATAAATAGGGAACATGCAGATATTCAAACAGTTCCTGATGTAAGTAACCTCAACTTCAAGGGCCAAAAATAAAAACAAACAAACAAACAAAAAACAAACAAATAAAGTGCTGAAGTTGTTTCAGAAGAAAGTTATTTTCTTCGATTTGGAAAATGCATTCCAACTTAAAATGACTATATAACTCTATTCAAAATGTCTGTTTATTAATTGTTTCACATGACTATAATATAAAGGACTCATTTATTCACGTGGTGAGGATATATATCCAAGTCATAAACATAGCCAAACAAAAACTTTCATTTAATTTAGAATAATTTAAATTAAATAATCCTGTTCTTCAAAACTGCCAAACAATTAAGAAAAAGAACTGAGTCTTGAAATATACGAGCATTACCTATGGGAACTGGGAAATCCTATTACGATAACTTTCTTTAGTCATTATTCTAATTATAATGAGTAATTATCCTACAAAACTATGATAGTTGACAACATGAATCAACAAGAATGTAGAGCAAAAGCTCCCATAGCTCAATTTACTGAGAAGGAGACTGATTAACCAGAGGCTAAGTTATTTTTCAAAGGCCGTACCTGCTTGAGATTTGCAAAATATGACTGCATTTCTGATTTCTAGTATTAGGTTATCTTTTATAAAGTTACTACTTTTGTCAGTTGGAGGAAGAGATCCTTCTTGAGCTATGGAATATCAAAGTTCAATTAAGTTCATTCCTGTTACGCATTAGATCCCATGACATGTGGGAACTAAAGGCCAAAAGCACAGAAGTACAGAAATTCTATACTAGGTAGTGATGGGAGTCATTCTATAAGATATTTCCAGGTGGGTCAGTGAGATGGCTCAGGGGATGAAAGTATTCAATAAAATGCCTGACAATCGAAGTTTGGTCCCTGGGAACCTCATGGTGGAAGAAAGGAAGGAATTCCAGCAAGTTATAGTTTGACATTCACAGGCATGTATTGGCACATCATATGTATACATAATTCAATGTAAAATATAATAATAAACCACTAGACATAGCAGTAAAACTGATGTGATGAAGTAGTTCATTAGAAACCATGTACTGCATTTGCAAATAATATTAGTTGCTGGTTAATATGATTATATGATAAGGCAGTAATATATAATTGTACATTCCAAAGAAAGAGTGTTTTCTATTACTTAAATACACAGTATTATTGCACTATTAATAGTGATAGCTCACTTTTAGCAAGTTTCTGGTTACTATTATAATTACTTATTTATATAAAGAAATTTGAGAGAATTAAAATATCATCCAAAGGCAATTATGAAATGAAGCATATTAGTCACAGTTATTTTATCTGTAGGTCTCCACCATATTGTATAATAGAAACATGAGTATACATATATCAAAATGCATGATCTCTTCCAAAGATTTATTTTATGACTCTTTAATCACTGAAAGCAATTCAAAATGAAAGATAGATCTTAGCTTTATAACACTCTTAGCAACTCTTAGCAACTCTTCAACTCTTGTTGAACCTTAGACCTACCCTTGAATTTTCCTTTTCACAACAAAATTTCTTTCTCTGAACAGAAATGATACTCAACTTCCGACATTTACATTTTAGTACTAGTAGGGTTTAAAAGATGTTTCAGGAGTTAAGAACACTTATTGCTCTTGTTAAAAACACTGGTTCGATTCCAAGCACCCACATTAGGCAGCTCAAGCCAGTAGCTTAAGTGCTACAGAATCTGAGAACTTATGGCTGCAATGGCTATGCATACACATGTGCTGCACATAAATTCATCTATCAACAAGTACATATAAATAAATATTTAAAAGTAAATAAAATTTCACAGTATCACAAAGAAAAAAACGCACTATTTAGTTTGAGATATAAACTAATATTGTTGACAAAATTGCAAAGTATGACATTAAATATTGTGTGAAAAAGTACACTTTTAAAACCACTTAAAGAAAACTTATGATAATCTGCATTATACACATATTACTGAAAGTAGAATTAATACCCACTGTCTTATCTTTTCCTTATTTTCATGCTGTCAAACAAACTTTCCCCTTTAGTAACAGAAACAGAAGTAAATACCATTTACCTTATTATTCATAAATGCTTTCAGGCACTGTATAAGTTTGTACTGGTTCTTCTTGTCAATATTCTCTTGCCTAAGTGAATAAGAAAAAACAAAAACAAAAACAAAACCTTGAGCTTGTTTGGAGGTTATAGCAGGGGAGCGCAGCTACTCTTATACCTTTGACAGAAGACCTGTCCTCCCCTATTCCAGGAAGGTTGTCTTCTTCAACCAAGCACATAGCTTCAGTAGAGCACACTTTCTGGAGGGATGCACATGGTGTGGTGAGAGAGGAAGGGGACACTCGCCTAGCCAGGAAAATCAGCTAAATAAGCCTAGCGAAAAATGGGGTGACACGTGGTGTATTCAGGACATTGAAAGAGGGAGAAAACAGGGAACAGGACAGGAACCTACTACAGAGAGCTACTGAAAGAAACTACCCAACACATATCAAAGCAGATGCTGAGGCTCATAGCGAAATTTTGGGTAGAGTTCAGGGAATATTATGAAAGAAGGGGAAGATAGAAAGATCTGATGAAGACAGGAGCTCCACAAAGAAAGCAACAGAACCAAAAAATTGGGCACAGGAATCTTTTCTGAGACTGATACTCCAACCAAGACCATGCATGGATATAACCTAGAACCCCTGCACAGATATAGCCCATGGCAGCATAGTCTCCAAGTGGGTTCCTAGTAAGGGGAACAGGGACTATCTCTGACTTGAACTCATCGACTGGCTGGCTGATGACCTCCCCCTGATGGGGGATCAGCCTTACTAGGACACAAAGGAAGACAATGCAGCCAGTATTTATGAGACCTGATAGGCTATAGTCAGATGGAAGGGGAGGAGGGCCTCCCCTCTCAGTAGACGTGGAGAGGGGCATGGGAGAAGATGAGGGAGGCAGGGAGTGATTGGGAGGGAATGAGGGAGAGGGCTACAGGTGGGATGCAAAATGAATAAACAGCAATTAATATAAAAATAAAAATTAAAAAGAAAAAACCCATATTACATTGTGTTTAAATTTTTTCCCATGTGTAAAAGGTTTTAAATGTTTATTCTTACTGTTTCTTGTCCAGAAGCTTTTCCAGCACATCCAGTAAGAGTCCAAGTCCTTCATGGCCAAAGTTGTTCACCCAGCTAAAAATTAAAAAGAACATACAAGTGACTTTTATTCTTAGCACTTTAGATATTAAAACTAAAATTTTGGTTTTCAAATACAGGAATCTTCCCATACTATTGATATCTTTTTCTTTCTTTTTCTCTCTGATAAAAGGCTAGATGCTGCAGATGACCATGATATCCTCTCTTCATGGTTTTCTTGCCCCTATATATTTCACCAACTTCACAAAATTAAGAAAGTTTATCTCTCACTACTTCTAATCACTCAAATCAACATTTCCTCCTCTTCTCACTATTCTCTTAATAACACCATTACCCTTTGAGTCCCTCACATATGAAATATAGGCTTAATTGTTTGACCTGTCATTCTCTTTCACATTTTTATTTATTCTATTCGTTTTGTAAATAGCTGTTGAGCAGCTACAAGGTTCCAAGCATAAAGATATAACTGACAACATAATTAAGTCCTTATCCTCTTGGAGCCTAGCACCTACAATTATAGAGATAGATAATGAATGACCAAATATATAAATATTAGTGCTTTGGTACAAAGAAGTAATACAACTTTTGTTAAATATGTGAGCTGCTAGTATGCTTTTCTTCAATATGTATCAAGGAAAAAAGTCTATGATAAGATGCTACCTGAACAGAACACTGAAGATAAAGAGAATTGTATGAGTAGAAGGTTTATCAGAAAATTGATTCCAAAGGTGTTAAATACTATGTTTGGAATGTTCCATAAGCTCTGTAGGAGGGAAAAGCATTGGAACTGTTGGGACAATGATAAAATATTACACGCCATTTGTATTAGAACACTAGACCACTGAGTAGTTAAGAATGTTTCTTCTTCTTTTACAATGCTTCCTCTAAATAGTCCTCTGTTCCCTTCATTGTTTATGCTAAAACCCAATTTAACACTAGTTAATTTTATCTTAACATGACTAAAGAATCCTATCAGATCAGGGATGGAGATAGTTACAGAAGATCTTTTATTGTAAAGGTTGTTTTAGCAATTCTGGTTTTTTTTTTTTGTTTTTGTTTTTGTTTTTTTTGTATTTCCATATGAAAATGAGAATAGTTCTTTCAAGGTATGTAAAAATTGTGTTGGTATTTTGATGGGAATTGCATTGAATCTGTAGATTGCTTTTGGTAGGAAGGCCATTTTCACAATCCAGAAGCATGAGAGATCTTTCCATCTTACGGTATCTTCCTCAATTTCTTTCTTCAGAGACTTGAAGGTTTTTTTTGTTGTTGTTGTTACACACACACACACACACACACACACACACACATATACACCTTGGTGTGACTCTAATCAAGCAAGTGGAAGACCTTATCCACTTGCTTGATTAGAGTCACACCAAGGTATGTTTGTTATTGGTGATTACTCCCTAATTTCTTACTCAGCCCATTTATCTTTTTTATACAGATGGACTTCTGATTTTGTTGTTGGTGGTATTAAATTTATATCCAGCCACTTAGCTCCATGTTCATAATAGCTTCATTCATAATAGGCAAAAGCTGGAAACAACCTAGATGTCCCTCAACTGGGGAACTGATACAAAAATTGTGGTATATTTACACAAAAGAATACTTCTCAGCATGAAATTTGCAGGCAAATAGATGGAACTAGAAAAAATCACCCTGAGTGAGGTCACCCAGAAGAGGAAAGACACACAGGGTATATACTCACTTATAAGTAAATATTAGCCATATAATATAGGATAAACATACTAAAATCTATAGTCCTAAAGAAGCTAAACAGCAAGGTGGACCCTAGGGAAGATGCTTAATCCTCATTTAGAGGGCAAACAGGATTGATAGTAGAAGCAGGAGAAAACAAGGAACAGGACAGAAGCCTAACTTGAACTCATTAGCTGGCTCTCTGATCACCTCCTTTTGGGGGATAAAACCTTGCCAGACCACAGAGGAAGACAATGAAGCCAGTCCTCCTTGTTGTTTAGCCTTTTTAGCACTATAGATTTTAGTATGTTTTATCCTATATTATATGGAGAGCAGGGACAGTCTCCGGCATGAACTTGGTTGACTGCTGTTTGATCAACTCCCTGTGGAAGGTGGCCTTACTAGGCCACAGAGAAAGAAAATCTAGACAGTCCAGATGAGACCTGATAAGCTAAAGTCAGAGAGTAGGAGAGGAGGACCTCCCCTATCAGTGTACTAATGGAAAGGCATAGGGAGAGAAGGAGGGAGGGTGGGAGCGGGAGGACATGAAGGAGGGAGCTACAGCAGGGAGATATAAATTCAATAAATTTTAATTTAAAAAAAGAGAGAATCCCATCAGGGGTCTTTGAAGCTTCATTTTTTTTTTCTTTTGTGCATTTTACACTTAAAATATCTGACTAATAACATTTAACGACATTCCTCAGCCCAAAATTTCACTTACATTGGCTCAATAATTCCTTAGCCAGACATTTTCATGGAGCCTCAATCTACCTTTTAAGCCTGAGAATTTATAATATATTTGACAATAAAATCAGACAAATGATCATTCTGGGTGTTCTCTTTGAAGTTCCTTTGTTTATTTCTTCTTTCTTACAAGAAGGAAACCACAATATCATCTCTCAATGCCTCCAAACCTCATATGACCATTTATAACCATTAGTGATCTCTCCCTCCCCTGAAAATCAACTGAATATGGATTTCTTTTAAAATCCCACATATAACCTTATCTCTTGATGTCTGGCATGGCTTTTATCATATACCTTAATTCATTTGAATTATAAATTCCCAAAATACATTATATTTTCTCAATCATTTCTTTTTTATTTTTCTTTTTTATTTTTTTATTATTAGTTACATTTTATTAACTCTGTATCCCATCTGTATCCTGCTCCCTCATTCCCTTCCAAACCCTCCCTCCCTCATCTCCTCCCTGCCCATTTTCCAAGTCCACTGATTGGGGAGGTTTCATCTGACAGTGTTTTATCAGGTATCTTCAGGACTGGCTGCAAAACCTCCTCTGTGGCCTAGCAGGACTGTTCTTCCCTTGGGAGGTGGGGAGGTCAAAGAGCTTGCCATTGAGTTCCTGTCAGAAATAGTCCCTGTTCTCCTTACTAGGGTAAAACCAATTGGTTACTGAGCTACCACAGACTTCATCCAAGCAGAGGATCTAGTCACACTTTATATTTTAATATTCTGAAATTGTGACTATAATTCCATTAGGACACTTACATAATGTCTTAGGATATATCCTTTCAATGTTACAATAAAATGTTAACTTCCACTAGAAAAAAATACATGATTTATTTTCATAACAAAGTAATGTAGCTAAACCTTTATCACATACTCTACAAGACATTCAAATTCTGTTGATTCCATTAAATTTTATTAAAATAAATTTATTCCAAGAAATCACAATTACAGTCTGAAAATCCAGAAAACAAAACCGAGATGATAGAGTTTCTCTGTCATATGGAAAATAAGTCCTTGAATGCAACCAAGAAAAACAGTGGCATTAACCCAAAACTTAACTAGTACATCCTTTACCTAACCCAAATTGTATATTATGCTATCTGATCCTGCTAGGCAGCAAAAAAGTGAAACAGGAAATTTCCTGCACTTTTAGAAGGTTAAAAATAGTTGAAGGACAATTCCTCTTTGATGAGTACAAAACAGAAATGCAACCTTTTCTCTTACCTACTAGGTACAATGTGAAAAACATGTAATTAACGACTCATTTTAGAAGATGATTGCTATGTAGAAAAAGATCAAACAAATTTAATCTTCACAGATATTTTTAGCACAGACTATCTACACATGCATAAAAGGAACATTTCTTCGTGGATCGAATTTGAAATGTTGTTTACTAAAAGAATGATTTTTAAAGATAGGAAGTTTTGTTGTTTCTGTGTTAATCTTTATGCTTTATTTTAAATATATCTACTTAACACTGGGGAAGAAACTGGAGAGATTTTCTTTTCTTTTTTTTTTTTTTTGTCTGAACCTTTATGGTAAAATACATTTTTAGTCATTGTATTTTAAAAGATAAAAACTATATCTACCATAATCTGATTGGCCTGCTCTTTGATCACCTCCCCCCAAGGGGGGAGCAGCCTTACCAGGCCACAGTAGAGGACAATGCAGCCACTTTTGATGAGAACTGATAGACTAAGATCAGAAAGGAGAGGAGAAACTCCCCTATCAGTGGACTTGGGGAGTGGCATGCATGCAGAAAGGGGAGGAGGGAGGGGCTTATGGGGGGATACAAAATGAATAAAGTGTAATTAATAAAAAATTAAAAAAAAACACCCTATATCTATTTTTAGTGTACATATGACTTATATGTGCACTAAAAATAGACAAGTATAGCTGTCCATCATGGAGTAACAACATATACATGTCTCTTATCATTATCATTTTCCTATGGTAAAAACAGTAAAAATTTACTTTCTCGGCAGTTTTCAAAGGTACAATATACTATTATTTACTACAGTTATCATGATATACATTAGGTATCTTTAATTCCTTCGTTTATTTACAAGAAATTTTGTACATTTTTGTACATCAATTTCCTGAATCAGTAGCTGCAAATATAATTTATCAAAATATAATCTAAGACAATTAATATTCAAAATCCCCAACAATCACCCATTAACCAAACCAGGAACCTTAAATGTTTATCTGACAAAACTAAGCTAAACCTAGTCTTTATTTTTCTATCCCAATGAATATGTTCTAACAAAATGATAGTGCATGATGGATGGATTTTTAAAAGGACTGAATACAATATGAAGTACTGATGAGAGAGATATTACCCTTCAGTAAATTCAACCTGCCTATAATTATTTTCAGAAAAAATTGAAAAGTATAGTAAATTATAAAAGATACACATTTCAATTTAATAAGTCTTCCAAGACATCAATAACTTTTAAAGGAACCATAATGTTATAAATACTAAGATTTCACTAGATGTTGACAAAATGTTAATGACATTTGGTTGGGTGTACTGGAGAGATATAGTCATTCCCTGCCAAGGGACATTAGGGCTCATGGCATAA